ATTTTTAACCCTTTTCCCTTTATAATAAAACGAAAATAGTAGTTTCCATTATAATACAAGCACACCATAAAAATAACAACATACAGGCACTTGAAATATTTATAATGACATTGTTAACCCTGTGGACAGAAAGTGGCAATTTCGGTAAGTAGCGCCATTGGGAGGGGCATCAACGTAAAAGCAAGTGCCGGCTCTCCGCAACGTTTTCGGCCCTTTATAAAACAGAGTTGGCATCTTTTGGTAACGCAGCCAAATAGCTTACAATTATACATTTTCCGTCAAAACCAAAGAAAACCTCATTTTCTTGTTCTTGTGGTGAGAGAAACTCAAACATAAATCATGTGTGGTGGTTCTATAATCTCCGATTACATAGACCCTAATCGGACTTCTCGCCGGCTCACAGCCGAGTTGCTATGGGGTCGTTTCGATCTCAGTAAGAAGCAAAAAAATCCCAACAACTATCACTCTAAGCATTTGCGATCTGAAGTTGTTGATGACTTTGAGGCCGATTTTCAGGACTTCAAAGAGTTATCTGATGATGAGGATGTTGAAGTCGATGTCAAGCCATTTGCCTTCTCTGCTTCCAAACAGTCTACTGGTATTAATTACTTAATTTCTATGGACTCTTCTAGTTTTTTTCTGGCTTGAATTGAGATTTTGTGTCTGCTAGTGAAGTTATTTTGAATTTATTCAAGTGGACAAAATGGTTAACTTTGGAAATGAGGGATCCAAGATGCTATTTTATTTTACTTAATTAGCTAAAAAGAAAAGAAAAATTAAACTAAATATCCTTTCACCTAGCTGATTAAAATAAAAATAGCCGGCAGATGTATAATCTATGTATATTGCCTAAAAAAGTAAATAGAAAATTTGTGTGAAGATTCCTGAAGTAAAATGTGTGGCATCTAAAAGGAGGAAGGTGACAAGATGCCATTTTTTTTACTTGATTAGCTCAAATAATGATAAGTGCAGAAAAGGCATTCATGTTTTGAGAAGCCTTAAATCTACCTTTATTATTTATGTTTCGTGAACTTTCATGTATCAAATTTGACATAGTTTTGATGAATTTTGGTTGCTAACTTTATGAAATGCTTTTAAGACAATAGAAGAAGGTCATGTAAAATCGATCACAAATGTTGTTGTGTTGTTTGTTTGGATCAATATTTCTTGTCTAGATCCAATTTGATTGTTAAATGGTTACTTTGGGAGCAAGTTCTATCGATGAACTCTCTTCCCTAAGAAACTGTTTCATCATGCTTACATAATAAAGTCCCATCACTTTGATGATGATTTTTGGTAATAAGCTTAGATCTAGGCTTCTCAGTTCTGTAGTTTTTAATTTGGGGAGGTAGGCTTTAACATATGGGTTGAAACCTGGTATTTATAGCTCAAACCCTGTATATGTGAGAAATTCAATTGCCAACACTTGAGACCTTTTTCCTAGAATTCAGAATCTATAAAGTTCAAATCTTGGATCCATCTCTGTCTTTTATCATCATACCAAGAGAGATTTTGGAAGGCTTGATTTTGTGTAAGTTGTTGCCTTTAGCAATCTAGTACTAGTGTTATCAGCGAACATGTTCTGCGTGGTTGATTTGTAATTAAGGTTCTTATGTTTTATGGTTATTTATATAGCATGCTATTTGGTGGATTTATATATCAATGAAAATTTATGATGGATGAATGAAAAACTTAATAATTCATTTTATTTTCTGAAGGTTCCAAATCTTCGAAAACTGTTGATTCAGACAAGGATGCTGCTGATAAATCTTCTAAGAGAAAGAGGAAGAATCAGTATAGGGGGATCAGACAGAGACCTTGGGGCAAGTGGGCAGCTGAAATACGTGACCCAAGGAAAGGGGTTCGGGTCTGGCTGGGAACCTTCAATACTGCAGAAGAAGCTGCCAGAGCTTATGATATTGAGGCTAGGAAGATCAGAGGCAAGAAAGCCAAGGTAAATTTTCCCGATGAAGCTCCAGCACCTGCATCAAGACACACTGTTAAGGTGAATCCTCAGAAGGTCCTTCCTGAGGAGAGCCTGGATTCACTTCAATCCGACTCAGCAATCATGAACAGCGACCATTATGATTCTTTCGGATTTTTTGAAGAGAAACCCATGACAAAGCAGTATGGATATGAGAATGGGAGCAGTGCTTCTGCAGATACGGGATTTGGCTCATTCGTCCCTTCAGTTGGTGGTGATATCTACTTCAACTCTGATGTAGGAAGCAACTCTTTTGAGTGCTCTGATTTTGGTTGGGGAGAGCCATGCTCCAGGACTCCGGAGATATCATCTGTTCTGTCAGCTGCTGTTGATAGTAATGAAGCTCAATTTGTTGAAGATGCCAATCCCCAGAAAAAGCTGAAATCATGCACCAACAATCCCGTAGCTGATGATGGAAACACCGTTAACATGCTATCTGAAGAGCTTCCTGCTTTTGCACCCCAGATGAATTTCTTTCATCTCCAATATATGGAGGGAAATTGGGATGCATCAGTTGGTAACTTCCTCAACACAAGTGCAACTCAAAATGGTGAAAATGCTATGGACCTGTGGTCCTTTGATGATGTTCCTTCTTTAATGGGAGGTATCTTTTAAGTCAACATGCCTAAGTTTTGTAAATAAGGCTTCATGTGAGTGATTTTTGCTGTTGTATAATGTACTTGGTGCAAATATTTGATATGTTAATTTGATCTCCGTTAACTTGTTCTTTTAGGTGTCTCTGGTGGTGGAAGAAGAATGATCCACAGAGAAACATGATTAAGCCATGGATTATGCACTCAATAGAGCAGTGCATAGGTAATTAGGTTTAATTAACTACTTACTAGAGATGTTAAATTTCAAGTTTTTCTTAAAAACAATTGGGCTGTATGGATTATGACAATTGATGAGACCTCGATGCTTGCTACAACGTTGCTTTTGGTGTTTACAAGTTTGCTTCATTCACATGGAACTATTCTTTCAATTCACTCATTTGCATGTGCAGACACCAATAAATAAATACTGCAACTTGGCAGACCTGAACTTATACGATTGGTGAATAAGCGTTGCCATTTTCTATGTCCGTCGATAGAGGATTCATCAATGTCTGTTGGAGCTCAATTTTCGAGATATTCCTTAATGTTTTTGCCCCACCTCTCATTGTTTGAATAAACTCTTAGCAAGTGTTTTGGGGTGTAGATATTGTTCTTGTTAATATTAGTAATTGATTTTTGTAAAAATATGTTGTGCATTTTGTGGGAAAATGGATCTGGAACACGTTTATAGATGATTTCGATTTGTAAGTTAAAAGTGTGAATGTACATACATGCTGCAGTGTAATTTCTTTACCGGTGTGTAAACGTTACGTCTTTGTTATCAGTTTTTTGAGAAGTGAAGGTGAGTTCAGAAATCATGTTGAAATCGACCTGCGTGAATTCAAATTAGTTGAATTTCAATGTTAAAAACCGGAAAGAAAAAGGTTAAGTCGGCATGGTAAGAAAAGAAGGTGTAGGTTAGGTAAAGACATGACTGGTGTGGGGGAGAGCTATTGGTGGGTAGGTGACATGGTTGTTGAGGTGAAAGCATTGCAAACGTGGGGAGCCTTAAAATTATGCAATTTCCTAATTATTTATTTTAACTATCTAGAATGGAAATAAACTAATCTAATTAATTCAAATTTATATCACACTTAATTCATCAAAGAATATTTTCTATCGAAAACTCAATTTCTTTATTGAAAATATAATATAGTATTGTACTTGGTGGTTTAATGATAAATGTGAAAGAAAAAGTTGTGGTGGTATGTCATTGTGTCAGGCAGATAGTTTTGGAGTTACATATGTGTCTGTCCGTGATCATATGAAAGTAGTACAATAATTAGGAGTAAGCACGAAAGCCGGAGGTTCGTTTGTTATATGGACAAATATAAATAGTTATGGAACAAAAATTATTGTACTTATTATTTTATCTTTTATTTGGTTAGTAATTCTTGAATAAATTATATCAAAATTAATAATGAATATCAAAATAAGTTATTATTTCGGATGGGGAATAATAATAGTATTAGAAATAATTATCATGAGATAAAATAATGAAAATGACAACCAAAAAACAAACGTTGAGGTCGCTCGAGCCATTTGTCCTAATAAATAAGGTGGAAGATATTTTTATAAACAAATAATGGTTATTTATAATATAATAAGTCAAACAGTCAATAAATGTATTTTGTAGGGGTTCCAACTATCTTACATACTTTTAAGAAAAAGGTAATTGGTGGATATTCATGTTTTATGATGGATAATATGAGTTGATCTGACCTATTTAAATGATTGGATAACCAATCCATTTAACATGAGTTAGATTGAGCGATAACCATATGTTTTACCCATTCTATCATACTTGCTCGCCTCCAATAACGCCATGTGCGCAAACACTTGCACCGATTTCTAACGAGTCATTTGCACTTTACGTGGTCTTTAATTTATGCCCCTCATAACAAACAAATTTTAGTCAAACATAAATTTACATTTTCTTATCATAATATTCTCTTCTATTATAATGTTCTGACACGACTTTAGTTTCTAAAAGAACTTTGATGATTCGAAGCACAAATGTGTAGTTTTATGAATTCTAACATTAGCCCAGGTAAACCCAATTCAAGTGTATCTCAACCTGGCCCAACTCATTACCTTAGCTTAAGAAAAAGTTTAACTTTGAGGAGAAAGTACAAATAAAGAATTCAAAGCAAAAAAAAGAGAAGAAGAAAGCAATTATTTAATTTTAAGTTGAAGAAAGGAATAGGATCAGAAAGACAGTGGTAGAAAGAAAAACATCACATTCCTCCTTACAATTGAAGGCTTCACTTATATTATAAACACAAATTAAATACAAAACCACATTTAAGAGCTATTAAACTAATTAAACCCATACCAAAGTTCTAACTATGATTTTCTTCATTTTATGTCATGGATTATATTTCATATTATTATCAAGCTTTTTCTTTCAAAAAATGCCTCTTCTTTCTTTTCACTTTCATGTTCTTGATGGCCCTTTTGGTTGTGATTATTCCTTCCATCCTTTACTTAGTCTTGAAGCCCCAAAATCCTAATTTCACTCTTCAAAAATTAAAGGTACAATCTTACAACTTGAACGTCTCGAATTCAGGCTCCGACCCCCTATTTTCATCCGTGATAAGTCTGACACTGCTTGCGCAAAATCCTAATAAGGTTGGCATAAGATATAAACCAACGCGTTTTCACGTGTTTAATGAAGGAGTAGTGATTGGAATGATTCAAGTTCCGGCCTTTTATCAACCTCCTCGTAGTAATAACTTAACGTTGGAGACTCGAGCAATATTTTACTGCGTGAACGTTACACAAATTTTGTCTAATATTTCATTGCAACAAAATAGTTCCACAAATAGTGTTACATTAGCAAGCATATTGGGTGATGTTAAAGCTCAAGTCAAACTTTTCAATGTCAACTTGCCTAAGGTGAAGGTTTGTACTTTTTCATTTGTCAAGTTAGTTCTTTCTTTCTTAGACAGTACGATTTTATGTAATTATCTTTTAGCTAATCTGATAGAAGTTGAATTTTTATATTACTTGTGATTTCTAGTACTTATAATTGTATTTCCTGTTGCAATTTTGTGAAGCTGGCGGTGGAATGCGCCATAAATATTGACCAGAACTATATTAAACTCAGTAACCAAATGGTCTACAGCTTGAAAGCAGGAAAATCTAATACGGTATGGACGATTATTATATAATTAATATAATATATACTTAATACTTTAAATAGATATTACGCATTGTTCATAATGTTAACACACTTTATTTATGTATTTCAATTTTCCAGATATCTCTTCCAATGAACAATATCAGGGGAAGTTTCTCCAATAAGTGCTCTGCATCTATTTACATCTAAGGAACTGATACTTTGTACTCTAATACCTTTATTTTTGTGTAAATGCAGTTTTAGATATTCTTAATTATTTGTTACATACCAAGTAGTCCATTATGTATATATGTAGTTGGATTTTTACGAGATTTAGAAAAGTAGATATGTATAATTTGCTAGTAAAACGTGCGGTTTTTAGTAACATGTGAGAGATGTTTGAATTATAAGTCTGAATTCGACAGTCAAATTAAATGGTAGTTTCATGTCGTCGGAGTCTTTTTGAAACCAAACCAAAAAGTGTAAATAAGTAGTAAAGTTTATTTACAAGGAAAAAGTGTATTGTCGACATCAATTAATTAGTCGTCAATCGATCTACGCGGCTATTTCATCTATGTTGTTAAAATTTATACGTTCTTAGTCCACTTTAATTTCTCATTCCGGTCGTCATTACTTATATTTTTAAAAATTATTGAAGTCAAAAAGGGAAGGATGAAAGATGTGTTAAACAAATATCAACGTGAATGAATTATTTCCTAAACAATGAATTGGGTAGGACCACCCACTCATTAGTCATTTGTACGTTATAACCATGCAATTGTTTCATTATTTATTGTTTATGACCACTATGAATGAAATTCTTCTATCCTTAATTAGAGACTTGGAAGATATTTCCCTTTAAATGAGACCTATCGAACACGTGATGGTAAAACAATAAAAATGGTCTCAGAACTCAAAATTTGTAACCGACCTGGCATTGCTGCATCAACAAAATATAAGAATATATATTGTGTACAAAGCTTAAATGTGAACAACACTAAATTGGAAGTTTGGTGGTTAATGTCAATCAAATAGTAGCATGCGTAGATAAGTAATCATAGGAAAACAGAAAAAAATGCACGCACTTGTTTCTTCTCGTGGTCCTATATATATATATAGGTAGCGCGCTAGCTACTTGTTTTAGTAATTACTCATTCTTCTGTCTCCCTAAGTTTCTAAAACCATAATATATATATGGCAATAAGGAGCTATTTTACCATGGTTCTGTATCTAACACTATTAATATTGCCGAGTCCGGAGCCTAAAGAGCAAAAAAATTGACAAAAATTATAAAAAGGCACATCAAATTTTTTTCTAACCAAAAGGGCAAAATCGCTACTGGTAAGTTGAGCATATTTCAGAAAAGTGGTATCTTCAAGTTCTAAGCCTTTAAGTGTTGATTTCTTAATCCCTTTTGAGAAGTATCTTTAAGTCCTTGAGTTGAATATTTCATGCTCATAATTTCGCATAAATATTATAAGTCGAACAGTCTTGAGATGAGAAGTATAATTAAGTCATTGAGTTGAGTAGTTCATGCTCATAATTCCGCATGAACTCTAAGTTGAGCATTCTTGAAATGAGTAGTATTATTGATGTTCTTGAGTTCCAAGTATTTGAGTTCTATCTATGGTTATTGAAAACCTTGCATTGAGTCGTTCATGTCTATAATTCGGCATGAACCATATTTTAAGAAGTCTTTTACAAACGTTTTAACTTTGTTTTAAGACTTAAGTTTTGAGTTCAGTAAAGAGTAAAGGTGAAGTTCTTTTCTTTAAAAAGTATATAGGGACTAAGTATTCCCAAAGAGATTTAAAATGTTTTCACATTTAAATAAGAACGGAAACTGAGGAGCCTTCGGGGTAGTTTTCAGAAAAGAGTAATCGCTTTCTAAATGAAGCAAGAGAATGAACTTTGATTTCCAAGATAGCCTTTGAGCTAAGTTTTTGAGCACTAATCTCAAATCACAGAAGAAGTATGTTTTTAAACATAAAGAGCTAATATAATATTATATTTTTGGGAGTAGTATTGAGCACCGATATGGGATGCGAGTTCACATTAACTCAAGTTTCCATAAACCATGTAGCCAGCATGGGTAGAAAAGGGTCATACTTTTTAGATGAATCATTTTCGCATAGACTAGTGGATTCACTTAGTAGTTCAGGTTCTACACCACGGCAAGGTATAGGATGGCCCGAGCAGCGTGGGGTTAATAACGTTGTATCATCACTATAGTTCTTAAGTGATGGTTGTCGATTAGAGAAACTCCCACATCAGTATTTGCATGGTTCCTCAAGGGGTTCTGCTTAGTATGAATGGGGGTATGAGACTTCATTCATGCATTGTACAAGTAGACTTTGAGAGGGAGCATGGTATGTCTTTTATGATATTATGATTATGAGTTAACATCCTATTTTAAACAGTTTTCCTTTTTCTTTATATTGCACTTGTTTTAAACTGCTTTATATTGAAATGAGTTTAGTTATGTTGAGTTGAGTTAAGCCAGATAAGTTCTTCAGTTTCTTTCAAATTCTTTTCAAGCTTATGTTATGCTTTAAAATTCCCCTTACATGCTCGTACATTCCACGTACTAAGCCATTTGGCCTGCATCTTCTCATAATGCAAACACATGTATTCAGGATCATCAATAGGAGCTTCATTGATACATCCGAAAGTTCGAGTTAACTATGGTGAGCCTTCTTATTTTCGGAGGATTTCATTTACTTTTCAGTTCTGTCAGGATGTCGTGGGTCTTGTCCCGACTTCCATCGTTATCAGTTAAAGGCTTCATAAATAGTTAGTATAATTGAGAAGCCTGTATTATTCATTTATTTTATTAAATGTTTTAAAAACTTAAGTGCCTATTTTATGGCCAGTTGAATATATTATTTTTATTCGAAGTTGTTCATTTGAGTTAACGCTTTGTATTTCAGTTTCATGAATTTTATTCAATTTTTAAGCTTTGTATGCTTGAGTTAGTTTTCCACTTGTAGTCAGCCAGGATGAGGGTTCGCTTGGGGACCAGCAATGGTTCTTGAGTGCCGGCCACGTCCAGGGTGTAGACTCGGATTGTGACAAGTTGTGTGAGGCTCCATTCTTCTTTTGACACTTGGATGGTGGACCCATATTTTTACTTTTTTACTATTCTTCTTCCACTCACTCTTCTTTTCTTTCATTTTTTAAAAATCCTTTTTGCTCCTAATAAGTCCTAATAAATATCCAACTCCCAACTATATAAGTAAACAATTGATATAATTAATAAAAATACTAATAAATATTTTTTGTCAAATGAAAACGTTCTCATGACTGAATATTAAAAATAATCTTATTATTCAATATAGTTAATAGTATAAAATTAACTTTAAAAAATCCAGTTTCTTAATTATTAGCGTTTTTAAAAAATTAAATTAATTCAAATTTATTATTTGATATCTCTTTTTGTTTTGTCTTAGACTTTAGTTCATATATGTGCAGTGATTATACAAACGAGCTATCAAATAATACATTTTTTAGTCTAATGACTGCACATATATGAACTAAAGTTGTAACCGACCTGGCATTGCTAGCTGCATCAACAAAAGATAAGAATATATATATTGTGTACAAAGCTTATTTGGAAGTTTGGTGGTTAATGTCAATCAAATAGTAGCATGCGTAGGTAAGTAATCATAGGGAAGCAGCACGCACTTGTTTCTTCTAGTATGTCGTGGTCCTAACTCCTATATATTTTGATGTGGGAAACAATAATTACATAAAAACATCAACTCTTGACCAAGCCAATTTCTGGCCCTATGGAAAATCTTACTTCTTCAACTCCCCTACTGGAAGATTTTCTGACGGTCGTTTGATTTCTGATCGATTTCATTGGTAACCATGTATTTGTTTCCATCATTCTTTTGGTGTTTCATAGTCATAAATGTATTTTTCCTATCTAGCTAGACATTCAACTTTATATTAGTACATATTTTAACTAACATCACTTAGACGTACACTTGTTAATTACTGACAGCTGATTATGCAAAGGTTCCAATACCAGCGGCCATTATGCAGCCAAGGAATGAAGAGGAACATTACATTAATGGAGCATCGGCAGGAGCTGGCTCTCTTGTCCAGACATTCCAGGGTGCAGTAACTTCTTTTCACTCCAAGCATGGCTAGTAAAATTTACATTATTTATTTTAATTTGTTATATGATGATAATTAAATAGTTATGTATGTACTTACTACTTAATATTAGCGTCGTCTAAAAGAGACAGCTATCAAAACAAGCTAAGCAAGAACGCATGTTATTGAATAACGTGCCGTTGATGATTGCGTTGAAATATTCTAATTCTTAAAACTTCTCATGTTATTGAATTATCACTCACCATCTGTTAGTACTACTTTTAACTAGCGTACAACTGTCAGAACCATGATTTCTCTCAAAATTTAAGGGCAGCTGGCCACAAGGTATTTGCATAGCTTTTTTTTTTTTTTTTAAATTTAGGATAACTTGCTGTCGCTATAACCTCTACCCTTTGTGTGAGCAGTTTGTGTGTATTGAATAAACACCACTGTGTAATAGTCTGCAAAAAATGTATTAACCACACTAGAGCATTGATCCTTCAAATAAGCTAGTCCACCCCCAAGAACTTTCCCATAGATCTTTTCCAACGCCACTTTTAAACTTTGTACCTAAATCATCCAGAGAGATAAATAATGATAGTATTTCAAGAATGACCGAAAAAAGTTAATACAATGTAAATAATAATAAAATATAACTACGGTTATGAAATTACAAAGTTCATAGGGAAAACTCTAGGACATTATTATGGACTTGGACGTATATAATTTGATAATATGTTGAAGTTTCATTCACCTATAAAATTTTAAATTCCAAATAAATAATGTGATTATTTTTCCAAGATTGGGCCAAAAAGTGGTTAGTGGTGCTGTTTCTACCAACATTAGGCTGCATACAACATGGCCCAAAAACGAAAACTCTCGCTATCTAAGACCAAAAAGATTATGGCCCCTACCCACCTAGAATGCTACAAGTAGAATTTTGCTTTTTGTGTAGAAGTTAATACATGTGCAGAAAGAAGTTGTTTTGTTTTTAACTCTTCAGGTGATTGATTTGAAGACGCAATTGAATAACTACAAATTTTGGGTGAGAAACAAGTTTGGGTATACTATAAATCGGACAAAATATTGACAAGTGCTGTTTACTTGATAAGTATTGGGACCAATGACTACTTAAGTTCCTTTTTGACCAATTCAACACTACTTCTCCTCCACAATACGTACAAATGGTCATTGGCAACTTGACCACTGTGGTCCAAGTACTAATATTCATTACTTAAAATGTCATTTAACAAATAGAAATTGAGTTCTTTTAGTCACTATGTTTTGTTATTTCATAATATAGAACAATCACCTAAAAAATGGGTGAAATTTCACGCAGGAGATATACAAGAACGGAGGAAGGAAATTTGGGATGTTTACCAGGCCTAAGAATGCTTAATCCTCCCACCAAAAATGGGTGTTTGGAAGAAGCTTCAAAATTGCATAATGTTGAGCTTCACAATCTTCTCTTAGGAATGCAAAAAGAGTTGAAAGGGTTCACTTACTCACTTTATGACTTCAATCGTAGTTTGAGACAGAGGATGAATCATCCCTCTAGATATGGTATACATTAATAAGTTTTATTTTCTTCGTATAAATTAAAATCAGTCAAAAATCATTAATTGGTGTAACATTTTTTATTTGATCATAGGTTTCAAGGAAGGGAAAAGAGCTGTGGAGGAAAGACGCCAGTTAAGCAATTTGAGGTTTGTAAAAGCCCAAAAAGGCATGTCTTTTGGGATCTAACTCAAACTATTTACCAGCAAATGGCTGATGAAATGTGGAATGGGCCCCACAGTGTCTTCTACTCTCTTTCAATGTCTCTAATATTATTAAATTTAATGTACAGAAAGAGCAAAGTACAAATTCATCAACTTCTGTTGGCAAACACATGCATTATTAATACTTCTTCATATGGTCCATTATCTTGGAAATGTCAATTTACAATATTGAGTTGATTTTGTGCTTTTGTAAAGATAATTGTTTCCTTTTTTTTTTGTTTATATTTAAAAATAAAAAACTATATACTTTAGGAGGTTTGATTACACACAGTATTGGAGGTTTTCAACTTATCCAACTTGTCCAGCATTTGATTGTCGGTATTAACTAAAATCAAGATATATAGAATTATATTGAAATCATGGGATTATATAGAAGGTGTGAAAATATATCCGAATTATGCTCCTAGAGAACAATCCTTTGAACTAAATGATCCCTAAAAATATTAAAAATAAAATGAGAAGTTTTCGAATTTTTTAAAAATGTTCTTCTAGAAATACTGTAACACCATGTGGTGAGTGCCTTAAAGTTTTATTTGACCAAATATCTTGCTTAGGGGTATAATAAGTGAGATTAGTACTATGATCAAATAAGCTGCTACTACTGCAGCTTCAACCAATTTTAATTTTTCTAGTAGAAAAGGTGTATATGTGCGTGCCCCAATACAAGTGACTTTCTATTTTTGAATATATATATTTTTTACCCTCCCTCTCTAGGAGCTTTCATATTTTTTGTTCTCTGATGACTTAAACCTATCGTAATTTTAAAATTAAAAGTGAAAGATGCTTATCAAACAATCCTTTTTGCTATAAATTATTTTGGACCTTAATAATTGTGAGTAAGGTAGAATTGGAGTGTTGGTGTTATCCAATAAGGAGGACAAAATATTAATTGTAATGGGTCCAATTAATGAAATAGGGCCGACATGACAAGAAAGAGGATGCTGACAACCTTATATTAACTCCAGAAATTAACATGTTATAGTAAGACTGTTGCTAAACGACGTGGCATTAATTCCTGATGCTAACATTATTCACAACCCTACCTCCCTCTTTTGCTCTTACAACTTAGTGACTTACATATGAATGAAGAAGACAACGTGCTACTCCGCATATTTTGCTATCAACTTCTACACATAAACATTAATTTATTGTTTTGATAAGACTACTAAATTATTGGTTTGCAAGTAATTCAATAAGTTGTTATGATTTACTATATTAATATTTGGAGTAATTTCCCTGAATAGTCACCCATATTTGGAAAATTACCTAGTAATATCACTTATGTTTGTTTTAGAACTACAATATCACCCAACTTTACCTATTTTCCTCAAAATATATTTGACACAAAAAAAAACATTATCTCTCTCCTAATAGGATGCCATGTCACATTTTTTAAATTTATTAATAATATATTTTTAAATCCTTTAAGTGTTTGTGCCCCTGCTTTTCGATATTATTTATACAATGTTTATAGACATTTTTTTGTTTATTTGTTTGTACTTCTCTAATTTAAAAAAATGATTTCATTTGTTCTATTTTAACTTAATTAGTGTATAATTTTTCTAAAATTATGAAATCCGTTTTAGCTATATAACAAAATTTTGTGTAACCGAAGGTTAGCTCCGCTCTCGATTTCTTGTGAGAATCGACATGATTTTATCTTTACGATTAACAAGGAGATTTTTTGTGTGAAGAAAATCATGCACATAATAAATATCACACGTATACTAATTAATTACTTTTATAACATATTATTTTTCAAGTTAGTAATAAAAAATACTTAATTAAATATTATTTTCTACGAATTTCGTATTTTAATTATCTATTATTTCCTTTATCTATCTAAATTGTTATTTCCTTTGTATTAAAATAAACCTCAATTTATAATGGTGGTTAAATGTTTGAAATAAATAGACATGCAACACGGGCACAAACACTACATACGAGCAGGGGCACAAACACTTCAATTCCTAATATAGACATTCCACAACTAAACTACTTAGTATTAGGAAGCCTACAGACATTTAAAGAATTAAAAAATATATTATTAATAAATTAAAAAAAATGTGACATGGCATTTCATTAGGAGAGAGATAATGTTTTTTGTGTCAAGTATATTTAAACCTCAATTTATAATGGTGGTTAAATGTTTGAAATAAATAGACATGCAACACGGGCACAAACACTACATACGAGCAGGGGCACAAACACTTCAATTCCTAATATAGACATTCCACAACTAAACTACTTAGTATTAGGAAGCCTACAGACATTTAAAGAATTAAAAAATATATTATTAATAAATTAAAAAAAATGTGACATGGCATTTCATTAGGAGAGAGATAATGTTTTTTTTGTGTCAAATATATTTTGAGGAAAATAGGTAAAGTGAATGATATTATAGTCCTAAAACAAACATAAACGATATTACTAGGTAATTTCTCAAACATGGATGACTATCTAAGGAAATTACTCTTAATATTTCCTATGAACAACTGATTTCTATTCTCTATAATGAAGGAAATTATCTCCTTAAGTAACAAATATATTATACATAAAATACTAAATATGGGAGTATATATATATAATTAAAGAAAATCGTATACTAATATTATGTAATCAACTATATATGGTAGGTAAAAATTTAATTGATGATGATTAATATTTACATATATAATTTTAATAACCATTAAACGTTTTTTAATTGGGCGGACCCAGTGAGACCCGCCGCTATCAGTTTGTGGCATTTTGTGTACCAATAATTGTTTGTCCAGACGAACCAGCAGTGTTAAGGCACGTGCTTATTCTTTGTCACCTCAAACCAATCTTCCCACATTGTATTGCATTGCCGCCTTATTAATATTTCTTCCACTCTTTTTCTTTTTCTTTTTCGCTCAGCTTTATTTACGTGGCAAAGTTTAAATTTTGAAAGGTAACTATTTTTTTTTTATATTTTAAATTTAATTTATAATATTTTTATGTAGTTTTTAAATATCTAAAAAAAAAACAAAAAATTCTTTATTCAAATCATATTCAAAATTTAAAAATCTAAACTTTAAAATTTTAATTACATCATATAAATTAGGATGGAATGAAAATTGATATGAGATCAAATCTACAATAAAGATACAGATAGTGATAAATTATCTGATTGATCCCAACCCATTTAATTAGGACTGATTTCAATTAATATGTAGCGGAGAAAGTAAAACAAAGTTTTGTATAATTGACTAGCGGAAAAAAGGGAAAACCCCAAATTCTGCTTTTTGGCTGTAAAATAGTGAATAGAATCAATTATTGGACGGCATATGTATAAGTATATTCCATTGACAATTTGACATTAATTTGATAGTGGGGGGGCCATAATTTGTGTATACATTATATTATACCTGAGATACCACTCTCAAGTTGTTATATATATACTCCAAAGACTTTCTCTAGAAATTGTTATTAAAGTGATCATAGGTCAATTTTTTCTCCATATGGAATCAATCCCATTTCCAAATGTCTTACGATCATGTTGTCCACAATCATTTTTTTAGCATGCCTATGTTACTTGTTTCCTCGATTCTGATTACTCTAGTTAATTATATCAATCTTGGTAATTTTTTTTAGCAAATTACTTTAATTTATTATTTCTAATTGTTACATAAGATATTGAAAGTTAAACTTTCAAATTGATCAATATTGGTAAGAGGCTAAATGTAGACACCTCTTTGTTAATGTATTTACTTTATGTTGAGGGTACTTTTGGAATTTAAATATTTTCATCAATGTATCTATTTTATGCTGAATGTATTTTTAAAATTTCGATGTTTATGCTTTAAAGGTGCTTTATAAATGTTTTTTCGACTGATAGGTTAGTTTTGTGTCAATAATTATTCTTTTGTCAAATAAGTAAAATTCAATATAGGTAAAATATTGATAACATCATTTAAGATTTGTCAAACAAGAAAACGTACCTTGACTTTTGTTAAAGTTGGTTAAAAAAATATTGTCACACAAATTAAACAAAAAAAACACATACAACCACTTTTAATATAATTTGTTCATTTGTAACGAGACTTTGCATCTAGTATATAAAAAATTGACATTGCAAGATAACTTTTGCTAGACCCAAATGCTATGTTTAGATCTACGGAAAAACAACTCCCCCTCCCCCCCGAAATAGAATTCTTAAAATATTGATTAGAATAAAATGTAAATATAATTTCAGAATTATAAGAATATAGAGACAATAATTTTCATACAATAAAAAAAATAATATATAAAGCATATACTCCTTATAGAATTGTCATTATGTTTAAAATCACATTTATTAAAGACTATTTTGGTATGTTTAATTTTTAAAGTTCATTTTCAACCAAGAAACATGCTATAATATTAAAAAAAAATGAAATATATGAAAAGTAAAGAAAAAAATTAACAAAGGGTGCATTGGAAATCTGGAATGATAATTAATGTTTCATTTTGAATGTGAATATTAGGTATGAAATTATCTATATTAGGAAATGTTTTAATGAGCCTTTAAGCAATTTAATTCTGACTTTAATATAAGTAAAAGTAAAAAATAAAAGGGAAGAGAAGAAAAGAAAAAAAAGATGACACAACTAAGGAATTTAAGGCAAGGTGTTATTACATCAGTATTTTTGAAAAAATTGGGTATATGCCCTTAGCTGTACAAAATATCAAATAAATAAAAAAGATATAGTAGTAATATTGCGTGTTTTGTGTGGATGTGGTCACCGGAGCTCTACTCTTTTGCTTACCTCTTCGGATCTGAAATCTGCAAATCATTCTGCAAATTTCTCTCTGAGTTGACTCTACCTCTACCGCCATTCTTGGCACCAGTTTTTTCTTGCAATACTTCATTTCCTTTTTCTGCTTTAAATATCTGATTTCTTTTTGCACAGTTTAGTTTATAAGTTTTTCATTTTAGAGTATCAGTGTTGTCTTTTATCTGGGGAAGCAGTTTGGAAGTGAGTTGCTGGTCCAGAGACTTGGGATCGGAAATATGGGTTCAGAAAGTCATCAACAATCTGAAAACAATGAACACGAACATTCCAGACCTTTGTATCTACAAAAATTTCGCCTATACGAAACTACCT